TATCTCCCTACTCCCTATTATCTATTTTTATTTTGCTCCTTATGTTTACTCTAGGTATCTTGTATAGGAGAAGCCATGTGATATTTAAGCTTATGTGTCTGATTATTTCACCTAACATTATGATCTCAAGGTGCTGTACTCCTTTTTAAGCAACCCTTCCCCAACCCTAAGCACTCCATCCATACTCTCCTGCTACCCATCCTACAAATTCTTCAGGATCTGCTACTATTAGCAATGGCCCAGGCTTCAGATTCTTCCCTTGACAGCCTACAACCATACCAGTCCTGTGTCCTATCCTACCAGGGCTACTAGATTTTCAGGTAAACCAGAGATTCGCAAGCTTTAGAGTAAATTAGAATCCTTTGGTGGACTTAACACACACATTGCTGGGTCCCTGTCCTAGAGACTGTGATTCAGTAGGTTTGGGGGAAAGAGGGTCTGCGAATTTGTGTTTCTTTTAATTTCCCAGATGAAGCTGATGCTGCTGGACAAAGACCACATTTTGAGAACCACTGAAATAAACTAACGTAAGACAGGGGCGGGCAGGTGACAAGACACAAAAGTAATCTTTAGTTCATCTTTATTCTGGCCCCACTGAGTTTCTGACTCAACTGATGCTGTGTGGTCTGGATTTGGTTAACCCCAAGTCATTTTCCCTCTGCCTTGTCTAAACTTCTTCCTCCAACTTGTTGATCTTACTTTTCACATTGTTCTCTGGGCTTGTCCACTTCAGATCAACTCTACTGTCCTTTTCTTTCTCATTTTATAAATCCATGGATTTAGGACAAAGGCATTTTCCAACTCTTACTCCATTTTATCCGGTATTAGTGCCCGGCCTGCTTCCGCAGTCAATGACCTTTCTAAAGTTTGACTCCCAGTAGGGCCCACGCTAATCTAGCCAGGATAGCCACTTCCCCTCCCAGGTGGGGGAGTCTGGCTCCACAAACATTAGCATGCTAATGACAGTCACCTGGGGAAGTTGTGACTTGCTCCAGCTTCCTTAAGCACAGTGGAAATACTGAAAACGACCTATTTGCTTGCCTCCATACATTCTTTCCCTCAGCAAACATTGATTGTGCACGTCCTGGGCTCTGTACTGGGCCCAGGAGATCTCACAAGGACACATTAAATATGCACGCATGCTCATGGCAGTTCTGAGAGTCCCAAAATGCCTTTTCATAAAAGTGATCTTTTCACTTCACTCATTAGTGAGGACAGACAAAGAGGAAAACCCACCAGCTGATCACAGACGAGACTTCTTGCCTCCTGAGCCCTTCCACCTACTCTGTACCTGCAGAGGTGATCTGGGACTAAAGACTGGGAGGCGTGGGCCCAAGGAGTTTCCAAACCTCTTTGTTGAAATTAACTTTATAATATATATCCTTCAGTCAGTGGTCCACTGCCTTGGTTGAGGTAAGGTATGCAAAATCCAGAATGCAGCGAGCTAAAACCTCTCTGCACTTTGACACGAACGCATCCACATGTGCACATGTGCATGTGGGTGCACACACACATACACACACTAATACACAGGAGTCTTTTTTTTTTTTTTTGGTACTGGGAATAGAACTCACGACCTCCTGCTTGCCAGGCAGGCGCTGTGCCGCTGAGCTAAATCCCCAGCCCACCATGAATTGGCAACTTTTTCTTTTTCTTTTTTCTTTTTTTTGTTACCGGGAATCAAACTCAGGACATTGTGTTTGCCAAGCAGGCGCTTGTGCCACTGAGCTATGTCCCCAGCCCACATTAATACACCACCGCACACTACAGTCACACAAACCTTTATATACACACCAACACACCACTGAAACACATGTACACACTGGCGTAGGTCCACACCTATCCTCACATGCAGACACACATCAGCAAACACACATACACGAATAAGCCGGGTGAATAAGCCAAGACGCACACTGACACAGAGAAACATGCAAACACACAGCTCACACACACTGACTCATACAAATGCACACCCACTTACATATCAACACCAACACCACGTTGCCCTGCACCCAGTAGAAATGGGGGGGGTTGGGTCCCAGGAGGGGCTTGCAGAGGCAGATGGCAGGTCTTAGAGGAGACGTGCAGTTGTGGGAGGCTTGAATTCTACACTCAGTCTGGGTCTGTGAGGTCCCATGTTTTGGGGGAAGAGACCTCTGCAAGGTTCTGATAGTCTCCAGGGACAGGCTGGAGCATGGGACAAGGATTCCTTGCTGAGAGGCCTCAGTGCTAGGAGAAAATGTAAAGGGTTTGCATGTTCATAGCTGCACAATGTGTAATTGCTAAACTGTGGAGGCAGCCCAAATGTCCATCCACTGAGGACTGGATAAAAAATTGTGGTAGTTTTATATAATGGAATATTACTCAGCTATAAAGAAAGATAAACTAGACGCTTTTATAGGGAAATGGTCACAACTAGAGACTGTACTCATAAGTGAAATAAATCAGACCTGCATGTGTAAGAATTGTATTGTCTCACTACTGTAAGACCTGAAAAAATGAATAAAAACTAGGAGTTATGATAGACATTGTGAAACAAAAGGAAAACGCTCAAAAATAAAGGGCAACTGCCGTGTGGGAAAAGAGAAGGGAAAGAAGGGGAAATTATGTAAGTATGTATATACAGGATAGCTAATGTAGTTGTACTACTGACTTCTATCACTTTACTGAGAGGAACAGTAAATGATTACTTGTTTGATCAGTCTTGTATGTCTCTTTGTTTTCTTGAGAAAGGACTTTTTTCTTTTTTTTTTTTGGTTTTTCTCCGGTACCGGGAACCGAACTCACGACCTTGCGCTTGCCAGGCAGGCACTTTTGCCGCTGAGCTAAATCCCCAGCCCCTATTGAGAAATCACTTTGAAGATATCAATAAGTAAAACAACAACCATTGTTAATTTCCTACAACTTTGTCTGTAACTCTGTTTTGTTTGTATTGTTCTTATCCTATTTTGTAAATGGATGTCTGTTTGTTAATATGTTTTCCTTCTTTTATTTCTTAAAATAAATAAATAAATAAATAAAATAGAAATGTAAAGGGTTTGGTAAGCAAAAAACTCTAAGGGGTGAAGGGGTAGGGAAGGCAGGTAGGATTCCTGGGGAGCCCCATAGTTTTGGGTTATCACCTGCCCACCTCTCCGGGTAGCAGCTCTAATCTCACCCCCACTCAAACCCATTGCAACCAATCAGAGCTCTGAGCCAGTGGCCTGGGGCCCTTTCCCATCCACCTTGCCCCAGCCCTCACTGGGGAAGAGGTGTCTCCCTACTAGAGGGAAGCTGCCAGTCACCTCTTGACTCCCCACCCCTATCCAGCTGGAGGCCAAGCCTCAGTGCAATTCCTCAAATGTAGCCCTGGTCCCAAGTGTCACTGCTATTCCAGTCCAGGGCCCAGCCCTTCCCCCAGGCTGTGTCTCAGCACTCCAGAGGGTCTCAGAGACTCCAACTGCCCCTCTTCCTTGCCACCACCATCTGTCCTGTGCGCCTGTGCCATCTGTCCTACAGAACTCCCCTGTACTGGTCCCTGTTTGTGCTAAGCTCTTCTCTTTAGGCCACTCTTGGGTCTCCAGAGCAATGATGAGGTCCAGGAGACACCAACTGAATACTTGGCTCTTCCTGACGGTCCTGCAGCTACCCACTCCAGGTATCTCTTTCTTCCGGGCCCCCTCCGGATCCAAAGTCTCTCCCTCTAGTTCAGGAAACACTTAATGGAGCACTTCCTCGATATAAGGTTCTGCCCTTGGCATTGGGGACACGTTTTGGGGAGTCCTTGTTCTCAAGGTGTACAAGGAATATAAAGAGCTCCTAGAGTGAGTGAGAAGTGTTGCCAGTGGAATCTAGTGCCAGGGAAGCTCCTCTGTGGCCAATTTCCTTGCCTCTCCTCCCTCTCTCCCGGGTTCCTTCTCCTCTCTCCTGCCCTGGGCATCTGTGGGGCGCCCTCCCTGCCAGGGTTTCTTCCATAGGCCTGCCTCCCACCCATGGGGGGTCCTTCTCTGAGACCAGGGATCCTACCCTTTCTGGGAGAGCAGTGTCCTGCCCACTTGGGGCTCCATCAAGCCAAGTTTGCTTGGATTCGCCTGTTACAGGGAGCTAGCAAGGGGCCAGTCCCAGGGAAAAGGGGAGGTCACCAGGGCTGGAGAGGTGTAGAAGGGCTGGAGCAAAGGAGACAGGTGAGCAAAGTCCTAGCCTTCGGGGAGTTTCATCTTATGTCCAATGCTGGCCACCTTGTTCCCGGTGGAATTAAAATTAAACGGGAATGAGAGAATGTGTGTGTGTGTGTGTGTGTGTGTGTGTGTGTGTGTGTGTGTGTGTGAGAGAGAGAGAGAGAGAGAGAGAGAGAGAGAGACGACAGACAGACACAGAGACAGACAGAGACAGACACAGAGACAGAGGGAGACTGAGTGAGTTACATTGGCGGCCGCTCCCCACCACCTGCCCCTCAATCCCGTTCCACTGAACCACAGAGCTGGGAACCTTCAGTCTCTCCTGACACTGGCCCTCGGACCCAACGCTAGAAGAATGGGCAGTCTGAGCCTGTGCTCTCGCCAGTCATCTACAGCTGGGTTGAAGAGAGGAGGTGTGAAGTCTGTTTGTGTTAAGTACCCAATGATGGCGAGCTCAGCTTCGTGAAATTATAGTATCCGAAGCTTGGGAACCCCAGGGGGGCATCCTAGGACCCTTGGTCTCGGTCTGCACAAGTCACAGCTTAGTTGTGGGGCAGCAGCGCGGCTCCCCCCAACCGCCCCTTTTCTAATCTCCAATGCGGAGCTGCAGGTGCTGCAGCCGCCTCCCGGAGCCTCAGTAACGCCCCAGGGCCAAGGAGGAGGGTGGACGGCAGTAGAGCGTTGAGACTCCAGCGGGCCCGCCGGCGCTCGCATCCAAGCACCCTGGGATCTCGGTGGAGAGCAAGAGGGGGTCCGGGGATCCAGGCGGAGGGAGAGGAGGACTGCAGCGCTCAGCCACTGAGCTGAGGCGGGAGGGGGAGAGGCAGGGGCTCCCTTCCAGCCCCGGGGTCTGGGGACTTAGGGATGTGAGAGAGAGCCGGGGGAAGGGGGTGTGACAATTCAGCAGAGGTCGGGAAGTACCACGGAGGCCAGTGGCGGGGGGGGGGCAGAGGACGTGGTCACCGAGGGGAGCCCCCGCCCCCCTTGGTAGAGGCCTACCGCTGGGGTTGCAGGGAGAATTGGAACTGGGCTCGCTGTAAAGGGAGGCAGCGCGTTAAATCCGCCCCCTCCCCACACCCTACTTCCGAGGGGGTGGGCAACAGACGGGAGGTTGGGGTTGGAGAGTCGGCAAAGGGGCCCCTCCCTTGCACCTCCCCCCACCGGACTTGGTCGCGCCCGAAGTGTAACACTTTCTCTTTGTCGAGAAGCTCTTCTGTTTCCTGTGCAGTAGCTCCCATTGCGGCGCACCCGTGGCAGCCCTGGAGGACGCAGGAGCGATGGCAGCGACCGACATAGCTCGCCAGGTGGTGAGTGCAGGGCTTGGATGCCAGCGCCTGGGCCAGGGCCGGGGGAGTACCGAGGAGACTTGGCCGCCGTGACGGCCACCGTGAGGGGGGCAATGGGCAGCACCCAGGAGCCTAGGCGCGGCGGGACTTTGGCTCTCGGGGTCGGCGGTTGGGTCCCCCAGCCTGGCGTGGAGAACGGTAGTGGCAGGCAGGCGGGCGGGCGGGGGGCTCTGGCAAAGCCTGCGAGCGGGCAACTCAACTTGCCTAGCCCAAGAGCTGCAGTAAGCGCCACCGCCTCCCTCGCTGCAGCTGCGGCCCCGCCACTGGGGCGTTGCCGAATGAATGGCTGCACAAACCGCGAACAATCCCCACCCCAGTCCCTGGCCCCCTTGCCTGGCCTCGGCCCTGCGCACAGCTACGGGCTGGAACTCGGTTAGCTCAAGAAGAGGGACAGAGGGCTAGGCTTCGCCTGGGGCTGAAGGTAGAGAGTGTGAGGGGGGCGGGGAGGTGACTGCTGGAGTAGGGTTTCTCCATATGCATTACATATGTGACTGCGTCTGTGTGTCTATCAGTGTGTGCGTGTATATGAGCACGCGTGCGCCCTCGTGCCTTCCCTTGGCGGGCTGCAGTGGTGCCCTGCTTGTGTCTGTGACCCTAGATGAGAGTGGGTTCACCTCTGTGGTGTATATGGGCGCATCTGAATGCCTCTGTGTCTACTTGTGTTGTGTCCCGTTTGTGCGTCTGTGTGTGGTGCAGCTCGCTGGTGTATAGGTGGCTGGCTGCATCTTTTGGCGTGTTTCAGAGCAGACCTCTGGAGGTCTGTCTCAAGTGTGTGTTCAGTGTAAGTGGACTTGTAAGCTAGAACCTGTGGAGCTGGCTTCTTTTTATGGGGACTCAGGAAAATAAAAGTGAGACTTGCAAAAGCAGTGTCATCTCTTTTTGTTGGCGACCAACTCTGGAAAAAAATATTCATTTAAAAAAACGGAAGTTTTCCAGCCTTGGGTGTGCAGAGAAATCATACTGAAGTGACCTGAGGCTCCATGTTTGTTTTCTCAGGCCAGAAGTTTGGTTGCAAAGAGAGGTGATTCCTTTTGAGGGGGACAGTCTAGCTTTTCTATTCATCCTTGGGCATCTGGGGTTTTAAGAAGTCCACCGGCACAATTGAGACAGGAGAGTGAGGCGGAGGTAGGTTAAATCCTGTGACACCAAATACTGCTTCGTGAAAATCTCGGAGTCACAAAAAATAATGTTGAAGCTTCTAGCTTACTTATTTAGAGAAATAGTCCATGCAGTGCAATTTCTGTGCAAAACAAACGCCTGTAGGTATTTGGTGTAATTGAAATTTATTTGTTTTTAAAATCTGAATTTACAGTCCGATAGTATTTTCTTTGTAGGATGGAGGGATTTATTCCATCTCCTGTCCCAGTCTGGAAGGTCAGGATTATTTCTTTGGAACCTCCCTCACCACCTGCATACCCCAGCACAGAGCTCTTTATGCAGTGTGGAAGGACAAGTTTTAGATGCGAGCCAGTGCCCTGTGATGATGCAATATGAGAGAATTTTCTTCACCTCTAAAATGGGCACTGTGGTATCTATTTCTTTAGTGTTTAGAGAGCTTCCCAAAATGCTTCTGCTCCTTGTTACCTGCATTTTAGAGATGGTATAGTTTAGTGAAGGAATTAGTTTCTTGGACTATGCTTGCTCTATCTCTAGTGACCAGAAATGACACTAATGATTTTTCTCATCAGATAATGAATTTGCATTGACCTGTCCATACAGTCTCATCAGTCTCCATTGCCTAGATTAGGATTGCAGGACAGATGTTGTCAAAGGGAACATTCCGGAAGGCTGTTTCCCCTTAGGCACAATTTAGACAATCCAGAGATCCCTTTTGTTCTGAAGATGGGGACTTAGGGGTGGTTTAGGGCCACTTGGTTTGCTTTTCATGGCTCCAGCAAGCTCTGGCTGGCATTGCCCATACTGTACACTGAAGAACGTAATTGTATGCCAGATTCTGAAGCTGAAAGAGCAGCCCAAGCACTTGAGACCTTGTTATGGTGATAAATGGGTTTCTGGGAAAGCTGACGTCATTCTCCATGCCTCCCTCCCCCAAGCCAGTGAAGCTCTTATTTATGTGTCATTTGTCTCTCTGTTCTCTTTTGTGTCTGCGAGAAGTTGTAATTCACTAGGGGAAGATAGAATTAACTCAAGAGACCTTGCGTGGCTGGTTGCTGCTGGTTTCTTCCAAGCAACATGCATCTAGGTTAGAAAAGAAACTTGTGAATAACTGAAGTATGGCTAGTTTAGGAGTTCTTTTTAATAATCTGAGACATGGTGTCACGCAAGTAGCACCCCGGTGTGTGTGTATCTGTGTGTGCATGTGTGCCAGAGGCAGTTGAGAGTTACTGTGGCTAAATATCCTTCGCAGTTATACAGGCCTGAAAATCGTTGGGTAGGGCCTATATTTGGGCATGAATGCAACTTGGAAGTTCAATTCTTGTGTGCATAATTCATTTTCATCCCATTTGAATGAACACTGCAAAGGTTTCTGTATGACAGCCTTGTTTTACCACCATGTCCATGAGTATTTATTTGTTTGACAGATGTGTCCAGCATTATGGCTAGCCTTTGTCCACTGTCTTACTTTTTCTCATTGCTGGGACAAAATACCCAACACCCAAAGTTAAAGGAGGAAAGGTTAATTCAGCTCACAGTTTGTAGAGGTTTCAGTCCATAACCAGCTGGCTCCGAGGCAGGGTGGCATGGCAGAGGGCATTAGTGGAGAAACAATTCATGGCAGGCAGAGGCAGGAAGGCCATGAAATAGCAAGCAGCAAGCAACAGCAACAACCCTCTTTCTGTCGCTTATATTTAATCCAGGCTACTCGGCCTTAAAGTGGGTGGCAGTCACACCCAGGGCGGGGCACTTTTAATCCTAGCATTACACCATGAATCAATTTCAACATTTTTGATCCCAGCATCACACAGCCTAGATCCAGCCACCTCCAAAAAGCCCAAACTATGACTACATGAGGCTTTGGGGGGACATCTAGATATAAACCATAAGATCAACTATACAAAAAAAAAATAGTAGACTTATTTCATGGCTTTTAAGCTTCCAGTCTAGTTGGAGAGGCAAATTGTGGACACTGTGAGATAATTAGAAAACTATTGAAGATCAGTGGGGTGCCCCACCACCCACTTACTGCCTCTGAAGTGGCTTGGGTTGCTATTAATATGTAGTCTGAAGGTTACGTGACTCATCCCAAGTAGCTTTGCAAGTCACAGGGCAGGGTCGAAAAACCACCTCTGCTGTCTCTTACACTGAGCTGTTTCTTTCAATATTGTGTTTTGGGGTCCTTACTGTAAGTGCTGGCCCCCGGAAAGAATAGTCTGGTTGAATCTGGCTTAATCCAGTCCCACAAAATGAACAATGCTGGTTTCTCCAGAGGCCATCCAGGTAGTGGCATTCTCCCAAATGAAAAAACTTGCGGAGGCTAACTTTGCCCTACAGAATTACTTGGGGCTGGCCTGTGGCCTCTATCTGAGAGCATTTGCATGCCCTTGAGAGGAAGATTGCTGCTGTACTCTGGTCTTCCTAGCAAATGGTAGTTACCCTTTGATTCCCCTTGAAGTGCCCTGCCTCAGCTGACCCTACTCACCAAAGGTAATATTATACTCCAGGCAAGGGAAACAAAACCCCAGTATTAGCTGTAGCTCTCCTGGGGATATAGAACTGAAGAAAGTTTACATGGCTCCAGATATTAAAAATTTTTGACTCTGAGTTGAGAGCATCTGAACAACCATGATACTATCTTCCAACTTCTCTGTGTTTGAGATTTTTCAAAATAAAAAGTTGGAGGAGCATCACAGTGCCCCCCAAATTCACAAAGCCCCTTCCCTCAAGGAGTGTGCAAATTAGTGCCGGGAAGTAGACACAAATCCTCATGTCATTATTATTGTGCTATGTGCAGCACACAGAGTTCCTGCTTGCCATGAGAATCCATGACAAGGGGACCTAATCCAGCAGAGGATGGAGGCGGTAGGTGACAGGAAAGGTTTCCTGAGGGCTTCAAATACAAAATAGGTAGGTATGAAGATGGGTGAAATCTTACTTCTGTCCCAGGGTTGAGAACATTTCATTTGTTAATTCCCCCACTGCTATTTTCATTCATTTCTTCAACATTTATTCATTGGTCACAGACTCTGGCAGGCCTTGTGCCGGGTTCTGGGGATATAATGGTGTCTAGGGCATGTAAGGACTCTGTCCTCTTGGAGCTTCCAGATGAGAGGCAGAAATAAGCCCTCTTTCCTCTTCATGTTCTAAATCCTGGAAATGTGTGTTAACAGTGTGCTTATTACAAAGCTGTATCACAGCAGAGTGATTCGTCTGTGTAGTAAAATGAGATTTCAGTCTTCAGTCATATGCATAGCATTTACTTTGTGGAGTCTCTACTTTAAATTTTCTATTAATTGCTGGCTTTGTTACCCAACATGCCCCCTCCCTTTGTGGGCTATAAGGAAACAAACCCATTGTAGTTGCCTATGCAAAACTAATTAGGAAGATGAATCCTCTGGAAAAACGTACTCCAAAATGAAATAGGACTCATTTCTGAACTTGCCTGGGTTTCTAGGTTATTGGAGCCATGGTTTAATGTTAGCACGAACAATTGAGAGGAGCTTTTAGTTGCATGTATGTTACAATCACTTTCAAGATAGCTGGAAAGAAAGAGGGAAAGAAGGGAAAGGCATGGGGCCATGGAGCTATATAACATGTTTCTTTTCACTATCTTCAAATACTATATGATTTTGTTTTTCTCAATAGCTTTCTGGACAAGTCTTTGCTTTTATTTAGGTTTTTTTTTTTTGAGACAGGTCTCATGAAGTTGCCCAGGCAAAGCCTGTATTTATCGTTCTTTTGCCTCAGCCTCCTTAGTGCTGGGATTACAGGTGTGCACAACCATGCCTGGCCATGGACACATATTGTTCTCTTCATTTTATGCATACAGGAGACCAAGTGAC